CGGGGCAGGTGGGAATCGAACTCATGCAGAAGTGGCTTTAACCTCTCAGTGCTGTGCTTTAACACAGGGAGGGCCCAAAGAGTGGCTTTTTATAGGGTTTTAATTTATTAATCCTCTCATGAAGAATCTACACAGTCATTGTAGATGTAATCATTGCAGAATCCTTAACACCCCCTTTCTGCCAGTACCTAATCTGGCTTTTGCCCTCCTTGACTTTCTTCATTCTGTTCTCACATTCCTTTCACTGTTTCCTTAAGGACTTTTTCATCTCAGACAAGCCAAGTCTTGGGTATCTATGTTTGGATTCATTTTTCTTTGAATAATCCAAGGAATCATAAATCATGCCAGTGCTGGTTGTCTTGCCACCTCCAAAATGGATTCTGAATCCAAATACAAAGATGACATTGGGGGTGGCCTTGTATATTTTAGTTTCCTGAAATTCTGTCTTAGTTACTGTTGCCTTCCCAGGGTAAAGGCTGTCAGTGACAATTTGTTTCCACGAGAGCAGTCAACTGGTCGTGAACTCTTTAGGCAGCCAGAGAGAGCTTCATGTAGAGACTTTTTATGTCCCTGTCTTATCTCCTATGTTAGACTCAAGTTCTCAAGGACAAGAGCCCTCCCTTCCTTCTTTATATCTTCTTCTATACTAAAACAGTGCATTTTGGGACCTCCCTGGTGGCATAGGAGTTAGTCTCTGCACTATCAAGCCATTGCCAGCCATGAAAACACAAGTTCGCTCCCTGGCCAAGGAGCTGACTCACATGGTGCAACAGACCTCTCCTGTCTCACCCGTTGTTCCCCTCAGGAGTATATTTCCATTAGATCTGCCTGTTGTGCCCCACCCCTCTGTCCCTGGTGAATCCTCTTACACACACACACACACATGCATGCATGCACCTCTGGCCTACACCCCAGTTCTTGTATGCATAAATAAATAAAAGTAAATATTAAAAAAAAAAAACATGCATTTCACCTTATAGGTATTCAGCATTAAAGGAATGAAAGGTTGGTAAGGAAGACATTTAACAATGTACAGTTTAATTGGATACATTTGAATTACCTTTATATAAGGCTGTATGAGGTCAGCAATCATACAGAGTAAAAGATTTCAAATCTGTGTTTCATTGTTGAACCTAACACCATTCATCAGATACTCTTTTAATGCTTACTTTGTACTCAAGGCAGTAATAGACACTTGAACTTGATTTGTGGTAATTACATGTATGCAGTTCTTTTCTAATATTATCTAAAGTTACAATATACTGAGTTCCTTTTTTCCCCTTCATTCTGCATCCTGTGAGTCTCACAATAACCTGTCAAAATGACTTTTACATCTTGGTGTGCTAAGATTAAATGCAAATGTTTAGCATTTTTGTTGTTTCTCTTAATAGGCCATATTTGCTCGCTTATTACTTCAAGATCCAGGCAACCACTTGATAAACATGACTTCTTCTACAACAGTAAATCTCTCTGCTGATCGAGATGCAGGGGAGAGGCACATTTTTTGTTATCTTTATTCCTGCTTCCAAAGAGCCAAGGAAGAGGTAAGGAATAATCCTCACTAAGTATTACATTGTCCTCTTGTGCATGACTTTAACCTATAAGCCATAGTTGGATCATTGTCTTCTGTATTAGTTTCTACATATCATTGTATATCTGGAACAGTATATCAGAACACTTTTATTTGTCTTCTAAACTTTTAGTCTCTTCTTTCTGTGTCTTGGGGTCTACTTTCTTTCTCAATAAACCAGTTTCGATATAACTCTTAAAAAAGAGCAAACCCTAAAAAAAAAACTCAGTGGATTCATTTCAACTGAGATATAAATAATAGCGAAGGCAAAGCTTGATTTGTTTTCAGGACTATAATTTTAAGAGATTATTGGTTCCTTAAATCAAAAGCTGAACTCATGAATTTTCAAGCATTCTCAGAATGCAGTATTATTTTGGGACATAGTGTCTTTCTCATTCTGTTTGCTGTGTCCACCCTTGTTACAGGTCATAAAGCTAGACTCTTGCTTCTTCTTCATGCTGTTTACAGATTACCAAAGTTCCAGAGAATCTGCTACCCTTTGCAATGCAGTGCAGGAACCTCGCTGTGTCCAATACTCGAACAGTTCTCCTTACCCCAGAGATCTATGTGGATCAAAATATCCATGAACAACTGGTAGATCTGACATTGGAAGCCATCCAAGGAGCCCGTGAGTACATAAGCAAGATCTGTAAGATTATTTCTGAATTTTAAATCTCTAATTGCTCTAGGAAGTTCCAGAACCACTGTGGTTCTTGGTGGAAATTGAGAAAGAAAGACACATCTCAACCTTCAGGGTTAACACCAGAAGCATGATGAATAGTCTCAGAAGAGCAAAGAGCTAGTATATAAAAGTACATCAAAATTCTTATGGCCTTCTTTCTACTATTTGTCTTTTGTTAGATTTTGAAGATGTAGCTGAATTCTTGGAAGAGGTCATTGAAGCCTTGATTTTGGATGAGGAAGTTCGAACATTTCCAGAAGTCATGATTCCAGTGTTTGATATTTTATTGGGTCGCATAAAAGATCTAGAGCTCTGCCAGATCCTATTGTATGCTTACCTGGATATTCTTCTCTATTTCACCAGGCAAAAGGATATGGCAAAGGTAGGTCTAAAAGATGGCATCTGTTCAATTGAGCTGGGGATTTAATACTCGGTGTTTCCCTATGCTAAGAGCATGGTAATTACCCACTGAATAAAAGAAAAATACTCTGGTTGTTGTACACACAACTCTTTTAAGACTTTCTCACCCCCATCACTTTTATCTCATTAAGCATGAATAAACAAGACTTTCTTCTCTTGTAGGTTTTTGTAGAATACATTCAACCCAAGGACCTTAGCAATGGGCAGATGTACCAGAAGACCTTGCTGGGAGTAATCTTGAATATTTCCTGCTTATTAAAGACTCCTGGTGTGGTAGAAAATCACGGCTATTTCCTGAATCCATCTCGTTCCAGTCCCCAAGAGATCAAAGTACAGGAGGCCAACATCCATCAGGTGGAACTGTTTTCTGGGATATATTAGCCCCCAGTCTTAGACTAAAGAGAGTTTTCTCAAGAAGCAGATGCAGATAGGCCACTTTGAGAAGCAGATTGATCTGATTGGCTTTCTCCCATGATCATGTGAAGGAATTACCCTTTCTTGCATGCACTAAGAGGGGAGGATAAGTCTTTATGTGTTTGAGGATAAGCTGCTGCTATCCTTTGCCCAGTGCTATAACACTGCCACTTCCTCTCAACTGTTATTTTTCTCACCAAGTTATTTCTTACAGCATCAGTTCCTAAAACCTTCTGACTGAACTCAGCTTACAAACCAGTTTTGTTCCTTTAACTTGTTCCATCTATAACCTCTCTGTTATAGCATAAATCATAGCATAAATCATAGTAGGGGCCTGGTCAACATGAGAGGCAATAAATGGTTGAGTTGGGGTAGCTTAAGTCCCCCATCCTCACAGCTCACTGAAGTGGAGGTTGGCAAATTACAACAGTGGCCAAACCCTGCCTGCCACCTGTTTTTATGACTAGTTTTATTGAACATAGCCATGCTCATTCATATCATGTTTTTGGCTTGACTTCATGCCTCATTGACAGAGTTGAATAGTTGCTTACAGGAACCACATGGTATGCAAAGCCAAATTTTTTATTGTCTGCCCTTTGCAGAGTTAATTGACCCTTATTTTAAAGCTATGTAATCTGCAGTTTAGTAAGCTCATCAAGAAATAAATGTGCCCACCCCCCCAATTTTTTTTTTTTTTTCTCTTAATCAGAACTGGGAGATAAGACACAGGGAGAATGAGGAAGATTGGGATTAGCATACTTCTGGAAATTGCCAGTGGCTAAGGTTTGGGAGTAACAAATATTAGGATTTTGAAACTGGAATGTTTTATGGTTGTGTTTTCTGGCTAAACAGTTCATGGCTCAGTTCCATGAAAAGATCTACCAGATGCTGAAGAACTTACTCCAGCTCTCTCCAGAAACCAAACACTGTATCTTGTCCTGGCTTGGAAACTGTTTGCATGCAAATGCAGGCCGCACCAAGATTTGGGCCAATCAGATGCCAGAAATCTTCTTCCAAATGTATGCCTCGGATGCCTTCTTTCTGAATCTGGGTGCTGCTCTCCTGAAGTTATGCCAGCCATTTTGCAAACCCAGATCCTCTCGGCTCCTCACCTTTAATCCCACTTACTGTGCCCTGAAGGAGTTGAATGATGAAGAACGAAAAATAAAAAATGTACACATGAGAGGTAGGGGGGATTTGGGCTTCTCAAAAACTCTTGAGAGAGAGAGAGAGAGAGAGAGAGAGTGTGTGTGTGTGTGTGACAGGAGATTTTTAGCACATCCAGTCTTTTTTTTTTTTCCTACAAAGATGCCCTTTTTTGTTTTCCTCAAAGATGAGGCGGAAAGAAGAGCTATTTTAGCCTTTAAAAAGATACTTTTTTTAAATCTGATCATTTTTATATGTTGTAATTTAGTGAAACCTCTTTGAATTTAGCCACCTTGGGTATTCATTCATTTATTATTAAAACAAAGTATAGTCCTTGTTCTTTCTGAACTCAAAGGTTCTAGAAGAAGGCAGAGATATTAATAAATAACCATAATATATGGGGTAAGGTTAAGCTGTGAGAACTGAGAGAAGGGCATAAATAATAATATTCTATAAAAGTTGAGCTCAATTAAAAAAAATAAAAATAAAAAAGTTGAGCTCTTCCTAGCTAAGTCTTATCAAACACAATAGATAACAAGTGATCTGTTGTCTATGACTTGGAAAAATCTATTGTGTTGTCATTCCTTTTGGTGATTTTATGGTCAAGCTGAAGAATTTGGTTTTTTGGTTTTTGGTTTTTGGTTTTTGTTTTTTTTTTTTAAGATTATTTGTGCATACAGACCTGGGGTACAGGCCAGAGGTGCAGGGGCAGTGAGAGGATTCACCAGACAGTGGGGAGCAGAACAGGCAGATCAGTGAACTACACTGCTGAGGGGAGCAGCGGGCGGGTCAGGAGGGGTCTGCTGCGCCGCACTCTGGGGCAATTCAGTGCGGGATCAAACTCACACGGTAGTGGCTGTGCTGTGACCTAGCCTGTTGCGCCACCAAGAGGGCCCCAAGCCGAAGAATTTTAATTGTTTTTCATAGAAGCCAAAAGACATTGTTAGACAAAAGTATTGATTTGATTAGATTTGTTTTTAAGAAGATATGATGGGGAAAACAAAAAGAAAAAGATAATTACTGGTAACAGAATGGAAGTTGAACTTGGGTAGAGGGACATTGGAGATCGTGATAGATGTCCTTGGCAAGCCATTTACTCTTCCTTTTAACTTCTTTGAGGTTTGGACAAAGAAACCTGTTTGATCCCTGCTGTGCAGGAACCAGAGTTTCCTCAGAACTACAACCTTGTAACAGAGAACCTTGTTCTGACAGAATACACTTTGTACTTGGGATTTCACAGGTAACTCCTCTGATGTTATTAGGAAAGAATTAGTAGTTGTGTTGATAACCATATGAGTCTCACTGTCTTATTCTTAAGGCTTATCTAGGAAAAGGGTAGTATATGCACTCATTTATGTTTACATTAATTGTACTTGAATGTATCTTAAGTTTTTGATCTGTTAAAAAAATTTTTTTTAAAGATTTATTTATTTGTGCATATAGAACTGGGATGCAGGCCAGAAGCTCAGGGGCGGTGAGAGGCTTCACCGGAGACAGAGTGGGGAACAGAACAGGCAGATCGACGAAGTACACTGCTGAGGGGAGCAGCGGGTGGGTCAGGAGAGGTCTGCCTCGCATGTGGTTACCTCCGGGGCAGGTGGGAATCGAACTCATGAGGAAGCGGCTTTAGATTCTCAGTGCTGTGCTTTACCCCACTGTGCCACCAGGGAGGGCCTGATCTGTTAAATTTTTTTAAACTAAAGATATACTAGCATACTAGCATTTTTCTCTTAACTTGAAATTTTCGTTTAAAGTTTTATTTACTTATGCATACAAGAACCTGGGTACAGGCCAGAGGTGAGGGGGTGAGAGGATTCACCAGAGACAGAGTAGGGAGCAGAACAGGCAGATCTACTGAAATATACTGCTGAGGGGAGCAGTGGACAAGACAGAAGAGGTCTACCACTTCATGTGGTTTACCTGCCTGGCCCAGGAACTAACTCTTGCTCTAGTGGCTGCAGGTAGCTTCATGCTATCTTTAGTGCTATGCTTTAACTAAACCCTTGTACCAGGGAGACTCTGACTTGCAAAATTATCTCACTCTTTCCTGCTGTAATAGACAGAGTGGGGAGCAGAACAGGCAAATCGAAGAAGTACACTGCTGAGGGGAGCAGCGGGCAGGTCAGGAGAGGTCTGCTGCGCCATGTCGAACTCATGTGGAAGTGGCTTAAGCTTCTTAGTGCTGTGCTTTAACCCGCTACGCCACCAGGGAGGGCCAATTAAGGAAATATTTTAAAGGAATTTCAGTCAGATCAGAAGATCTATGTATCAAAAAGTTAATTCTATAAAAGATAGATTCCAGATATGTGAGGTTTGAGAACCAGAATGTATGCCTCCCAAAAATGGTTCTGGCTAGCCATATGTCATTCATGATTTTACCCCCTCAGATTTAGCTGATTGTGACCACTATAGCAAAAGGGAATTACTCAGTCACTGTTATAGCCTGTAGGAATGGATATTGAAGATAGCCATTTTAGTGCCTTCTCAGAATACTGAAATTGACACAGCATTTTCCAAAATTCAGCATATTCCTGGAAAAATGAAATTATATCTCTCAGTGTTTTTTCTATCCCTGTCATTGACATTTTAGGTGAGACAGTAGATAACTCAGGACGTGCTGAACCTGTTCAACCATGTAGATTCAAATATAAAAATGAATGTCATCTAGTTTTCCAGGATCCATTAGCTAAGCCTTAGATATTATCTACTGGGCCAAAGGAGATGCCTTTGGACTATGCACAAGAAGCACATTCTATAACATTGAGTTATGGGTCTTTCCTTTCATTAGAGAACATTTGGCTCTATGAAAAATAATTTTGTATTGAACAACAAAGGACTGTGAGCCACTCTTAAGTTCCCATCCCAAGTGGCTACTAGCTCTTGTGTAGTCATCACTAATCTAGAGTCCCTTTTTAATCAGCTTTAATTCTCTACTATAGTTAAGATAGTCTAATTACTCTAATAACTGTCAAATTACCAGCATTGTACTTGTGTTGTGTGGTATTGACCAACCCTGTTGGGCTTCTTGTACTTAATGTAACAGTCATTTTACATAACTGCCCAGTCTACACCCTGCTCAGCCAAGGTACGTTCTTTGGGTGCTGCTTTTCAACTGAAAGCTGCTATTTGTAATTGTGTTCAGTTGTGTTGAACACTTAGTAATATTTTCTCAGTGCTCTGCCCCCTGCCTGTGTCCTGTCAATAACTGAATGCTTTCTATAGCATTACAATTACAATTCCCTGCATCCTAAAAGAGAATAATAGAATAAGTAAATGAGGATTTTTTCTTCTGAAACAGTCTACTTGAATGCCCCGTTGTGAGCCTCCCTCACCCATTCTTTTCTTCTCCTGTGGCAGGTTACATGATCAGATGGTAAAAATAAACCAGAATCTGCATCGGCTTCAGGTTGCCTGGCGGGATGCACAGCAGAGTTCTAGTCCTGCTGCTGACAGTCTCCGGGAGCAGTTTGAGCGACTGATGACCATCTATCTCTCTACTAAGACAGCCATGACTGAGCCACAGATGTTACAAAACTGTCTCAATTTGCAGGTCTCCATGGCTGTTCTGCTAGTTCAACTGGCCATAGGCAATGAGGGCTCACAGCCAATAGAGCTAACTTTTCCTTTGCCAGATGGCTACAGCTCTTTGGGTTATGTGCCAGGTAAGCAAGCTCTTCCCTCGGGAACTTTCTATTTATAGCCATCTAAGCTTAACTGAGTGACTTTGGAAGTTAAATCCTCAAAATACCTTCCTTAGCAACTGTTTTTGGAGAAACACCCCAAATAATATCTATTGGTCAAAGTAGGGGGGCGCTGACAGCTTGTTTGTCAGCCTCCGGTGCCCACTACTGAGCCTATCAGAAAATAGTCTTCAAAGGATTTAGTGCAATCAGGGTTTTCAGAACTGTTAATTACTATCATTAACATTTGTTCGACTTGTAAATCTATCTATATCTCTGTGTTTTTCTTTCAAAAAACAAATTGTCTCCTCTTAATTAACCCAGAAGGGAAGGGGGTTGGGAGGGGCTGGCAGATACTGTTCACCATCAAATCAGATTTATGTTCTTGATCACAGTATTGGCATCTATTGCTGTATAGCACAAATTACAGCAGCTTAAAACAGCATACATTCTTTCACATGGTTTCTGTAGGTTATGAATCCAGTGGTTTAACTGCAAGGTTCTGACTCTGGATCTCATGATGTTGCAGCCAAACTGTCACCCAGGGCCATAGGAATCTGAAGACGCGACGAGAGCTAGAGGATCTGCTTACAGGCTTAATTAAGCAGCTGTTGGCAGCCTCAGTTGCTTTCTGGCCACACAGGTCTTATTACTGCTCAAATGTGGCAGCTGGTTTCTCCCAGAAAATGTGACCAAAGTGGAATCAATGAGTGTTTATAACCTAATCATATCTCAGGTGTATCTTCTTCCCTGGAAGAATGTAGGAGGAACACACAAAGGCATGAATACCTGGCGGCCAAAACCACTGGAGAACTAGAGATCGGTGACTGTAGTCATCGAGTGTATTTGTCTTTATTCAAGACTCTTGTGTGCATCTGAAGATTTACTAGACCACAGTTAATCCTGAGAGTGAAAAAAATATATTGGTATATTTCCTTAAACTGGACTGATGTATTAACTGTATCTTGTATCACTACAACTTTTTAAGATTTGTTTATGCATACAAGAAACTGGGATACTGGCCAGAAATGCAGAGGGTGAGAGGATTCACCAGAAACAGAGTGGGGAGCAGAACAGGCAGATCTACTGAGATACACTGCTGAGGGAGCAGCAGGCAAGACAGGAGAGGTCTGCTGCACCATATGGGTCAGCTCAGGCCACAATGGCTGTCAATGGCTTAATAGTGCTGAGACTTTAACCCCTGCACCACCAGCAAGGCCCTTTATATTGCTCTGATAAAAATAAAAATGTTAAGAGTTTGTATATTATAAGTATTCCTAGTATCTGCAAGATATTTTTTTTCCTTTTTTGTAATCCTTCACTACGTAGGGTGGAAGGGAGAGATTTAAAATGTACTATGCTTAGTATAGTGAGACTGATGTTTATCTAATTCTAGTATTTTCTTTTTCAGAATTTTTTGCAGATAACCTGGGTGATTTCCTCATTTTTCTTCGGCGCTTTGCCGATGACATCTTGGAGACATCAGCAGATTCCCTGGAACATGTCCTTCACTTTATCACCATTTTCACTGGAAGTATAGAAAGGTAAAAAGTGCTGAAAGCTTGGCTCCATCACTGTTTAGAACTGCAAAAAATTCAGAAGGCTTCTAAACCAAGAAATAAACAAGCCTGAATCATAAGGGGTTGCTTTCAGAAGTTATGTTAACATTAATGAATCACCTGACCATCCTTATGACCATCCAAAAATCCTACTCTCCAGAGGAATAAGCACAGGACTTTGCCCACAGAGAATTTGAACCTACATATAAGGTACCTGATGGGAATTCCACTGCTAGTCCCTGGGTAAAGTGGTTACTGTAATGCCAGAAACCTAACCACTGGCAGGTGCTAATGATCAAATAATTACATAACAAGTTTACTCTTGATATTCTGAATCAGATGAGCAGTAACCTTAGATAAATGCTTTCTGATCTCAAGGCTTATTCCTAGTTCTAGTTCTCTTTTCCAAAGGAAGATACTCATTGATTACATAAATCTGGACCTTACCCTCAGAAAGGCTAAAAAAGCAAGGCTAGATGAAACTGTCAGGAAATAGTAAACAGTAAACAATGTACTGCTATAGAAAAGTAAACAAAATGGTTAAGCATTAAACTGAAACTTAAATACCCTCATACTTTGTAAGCTGTGACCTCAGGAATTAAAGGGTGTGCCCTGCATTACCCCCTGAAAACTGATAGAACCCTGGTTTTTTTCTGTAATGGTAGTATAAGATATTTTGGTTCCTGGGCCTTCCCTGGTGGTGCAGCAGGTTAAAGCACAGCACTATGAAGCTCTCCACAGACACTGCAGCACAAGTTTGAGCCCTGGCCAGGGGGGTGACCCACATGGCAGGACAGTCCTCTCCTGTCCCACAAGATGCTTCCCTCAGCAGTGTATTTCACCCTCAGCAGTATTATTTCAGCAGTCTGCCTGTCTGCTCCCCTCTCTGTCTCTGGTGAGTCCTCTCACCCCCCCCCATAACTCTGACCTAAACCCTAATTCTTGTATGCATACATAAATATTTTTTAAAAAAAAATATTTTGGTTCCTCATATGAAGACAACAGTCTTATATTTGGGACTTAATGCTTTCTACCTGCTTACCTGACTTTCTGCCCTATTTGCAGGATGAAAAATCCCCACCTAAGGGCCAAACTGGCTGAGGTGTTGGAAGCAGTCATGCCCCACCTGGATCAGACCCCAAATCCCTTGGTATCAAGTGTATTTCACCGGAAGCGTGTGTTCTGCAACTTTCCCTATGCAGCCCACCTTGCAGAAGCTCTAATCAAGGTTTTTGTGGACATTGAGTTTACAGGTAAGGCATTCTAAAACTGAGAAGCTGATTCTAGTGGAGAGTCACAGCTTGAACAGTATTTGAATGTAAGAAAAATACTCAGATATCACTTACTGAACACATGCTATTGCCTTGATAATAAGTATTTTTGCATTGTTTATTTTGCTAAATTATCTCTTACCCATGAGTAAGAGTAATCTACTCAAACAGATGAAATTATTTGTCTGTGACATACAGCTAAATGGTAGAACCAGGTCTGTGTCACCTTTAAAAAAAGTGCAGTCTCTTGCAAGATAAAGAAAGGATAATGAGAATGACAAGAGGGAAGAAACAAATAACCTACAAAGGGAAACCAATCCGGATGACATCAGACTTCTCTGAAGAAACACTACGGGCAAGAAGAGAGTGGAGGGACATTCTCAACAAACTCCATAGCATTAA